CTATCAACTCTTTCACCATCATTAAGGTTTTATCAGGTGGATTTCATGATGCAAGGGTTTAAACAAGCTGGCTTGGTTAGAGAGAGGTTATGAGATTAAAATGATCTCATCAGTGTCAAAGTGGGTTAAATGCAGCAAAGGGATCTCTCTATGAATGATCAAACTTTGGCAGAATGCTAAAGGTAAAAAGCAACCTATGCATACAAGGGCAAAGACTCATCACTCCCCACCCTCTACTCAAAGCTTCCTCTCTTGCTCAAAGACCTCACTTTTCACACTCATTTTTCTCTCACTAGGGGATTTGTTCTTCACTTTCACTCTCAAGTCTTGGAACTCAAACTTTACACAGCTCTTTTTCTTTTACAACTTCTAGCCTCTTCTTTCTTTCTTATCAAAACATTTGAGCTTTTGGCTTCTTTTCTTTCTTTTTCACTTAGAGGCTAGATTTTTCTTTTCAACAAACCAGAGCTCACTTTCTCAAAACACCAAGACTGACTTCTTTTTCTTTCATTCCCCTAGTTATTTTCACTCTCTCTTTCCACTCATCTCACCTTTTTCCACTCACCAAAAAGTCTTTTCCCCCACACTTATTCCTCGCCAAAACTCTCAGTTCCTTGATGTTGGAACACAGCACTCAATGAGACCTGCCCTTGTCGCTCTAAACCTAACACTTTCTGCTAAGTTTGATCCAAGGTGGCCTTTCAATTCTCACACAAACATTGGCTTAAAAGAAGGATGGGTTCAAGGTATGGGAACTGATCCATGATGTGGATTCAGTTACTTGAGCTAAGGAAAAGAGTGGTAAAAACAGTGGTTCTAGCTCAAGTATGTATATTGGTATCCACAAGCTTTTTCAAACAATGCATCACAAGATATTTTCAAGTCAAGTTCAAGGTTCCCACTTAATTAGAGTTGAGTTTAATTCAAACTTGCTTCTCAGATTCAAATCATTTCAGACTTTGCAAGCATAGAAAAAGATTCACAAGCATATTCAATTCAAGTTCTCAAAGTGATGTACTCTCTAGAAAACCTATCATTACTCCTTGCAAGATGCAACCTATATGCAAATGCAATCTAGACTCAATCCTAAAAATGAGAATGCAACTACATGATCATTTTTTTGTGAAAATTTTTCAGATTTTTCCATTTTTTTTGGTTTTTATATGCACTTAGATGACTATGCAACTAGAATGTGACTCAAGACTCAAAGTGTAAAATGAGAAAATAGAAAACATGGTTAGTAAAGGATGAAACTCCTCCCCCACACTTAAATAACACAGTCCCTTGTGTTATAAAAGTATGAGAAAGAAGTGAAACCAAAGCAAACAAGCAAAATGCAAAAGGAAAAGAAAGTCTACATGCTATTTACAAGGTTTTGAGTGTTACCTAGTGGCTGTTGAAATCGGACCCCAATGAGTAGGAGGGGTTCGATGTGTGGCCTGACGGTGTTTCCCAAGAATGGTGGCTGGCTTCATCACTCCCGTCGTCAAGATCTACCCAAGTGGTTCCATATGCGACCAAGGCTGTGCAGTTCATGGAACTCTCCCCAACTTCCTCTCTGTTCCTTGGTGAAACTGGTGCTGGAGCCCCACCTTTGCAAGGGTTTTCAAGCTTCTTGATCCTCTTCTTCATCTCCTTGATGCACTTGGCCATCTTGTGGATGGTTTTGTCTTGGTACTTGCACCATTGTTGGAGAATACCAATCTTCTGTTGAGCTCTGAACCCTGAAGTGCCTGGTTCCTCCCAGTTGTAATCATCAAAGTGATATCTGTTTCCACCAAAACGTTTTTGAGGTGGAGGCAGATCAGCATCGTGAGCACCAGCTGCACTTGTGGTAGCATCTTCAGCGGTTGCTTTCTTTCCCTTGGAGGCTTCTTCTCTGCAAGCTTGCCTGTATGTGAGGATTGGTGGATCAGTTTGGACATTGTACAGCTCTTCCTTCAGCAAGAAGAAGTGAATGTTCCTTTTAACTTGGACTGTGGTGATGGAGGGATTGGGTAGGAGAACTTGGGCTGGCTCACTGATGAGTGTCTTGAAGTTGTAGACTGCCTTGGTACCCACTCTTCCTTGGAGAAAGCCAATCCTACACAAATGTGCTTCATTAATCAGATCAAACTTTGCCTTGTTCTCCTTGAATCTATACCCCATGGCTTTCAAGATCTTTGTTACCACCCATCCATGGGTCAGCTTTGCATCTTTGTTTGTAGAATCCCACATGCACTTTTTGTAGAACATCAAAGACCTTGCTAATTGAGATGCAAGGCAAAGTGGGTATTCATACCCTACATAGGGTTCCCCATCTTCATGTGTTGGCATCAGCGGCCTCAGCCCTACACCCAGAAGCAGCAGATCTCCTTTGTGAACTCTTCCAACATCAATCTTGAAGTAGAAGCTGTGAGAGAGAATCTTGTGTACATATCTCAGAACTGGATTCCTTATCCAAGAGGCCTTAGCTGTTCCAGCTGTGTACTTCCCAGAAGCAATTGATCTCCATAGAAGTTGGATCTCATCTTTTCTGAGATTGACCGAGTTGGAGAGAAATTCATTTCTAGGTGTTGAAAACCCAAAGATCTTACTCAATTCTCTGAATGACACTGAATATTCCTTCCCTTTCACAGTAAACTCCACATGTCCAAGCCCATCTCCTTGAATGATTCTTGAATCCCTTGGGTAGTAAATGAAAGCTTCAAAGGAGGCCAAGAACTCTTGGGACTCTTGCTCATAAGCGATTTCTCTCATCTCCAAAAGTGACTCAACACCCATGTTCCCAAGCAAAGTCTTGACATCTTCATAGAGGCCAATCTTCTTCAGAAAGTCCAAATCAGGGAATCTCCCTTGCTGGATCTCTATCTGCTGAAATTTAGCCAGATAATCAGGTGTTTCTGGTTCAGTTTTCTTGACCTTCTTTGATCCCTCTTCATTGGTGCCTTGGGAACCACCAGCTGAGCTGCCGGAGTCACTTTCAGTCTGTTCACTCTCAGATACCACAGCCAACTGTTTCCCCTTTTTCTTGGAACCAGAAGCAACC